CCTAGCCTAACTATTCAGGTCAAAGCATAAATAGAACGTGTGGAAAAATGAAACATCATGTTGATGAACGTGTATAGTCAAGCGTTGCTCTTCTCCAGATCTAAAGAAGTCTGATAAATCATTTGTAATCAACTGGGTAAGCATGAAGCTTAGTGCGTTTCCCAAAATACCATATATCATCATACATATACATGCATACAAATAATGGATATGACATTTCACCGTTCTACCGATAACATGTGTATCTATTCTCACACTCTATCATTGCTCCGCCATCAACATGAGTCTTTAGGCACATAGTCATCACTGTTCTGTCGTCAAATCCTCCTATAGATACATAACTAAACTAAAAACTAATCCTATAAAAACATGTCGGGACTCCCCTCGGTAGAAGTTCCTCATCAACATGAGTCTATAGGCTCATGGTCTTTCGTTGTTCCACTGTCGACTCCTCATATATACATATGAAAGAATGAAATAGCTTAACAATCAATCATATAGAGACTATCCTATCCCGCACACATAAATCTACTCTAGCAGTTCTTATATCCTATGATACATGGGTATTTATTGTAATATATAGTATAGTGAGATAACAGACCAAGATAATTATCCACAGGACTAACAATTGGCGATCCCACTGGCAAGCAACGTGCTTAACAAGTATTAATCGATTAACATTCAATGAATATTCGCAAGGAGAACCTCAATGCTTACTTTTTAATCTTTCAAAAACTTACGATGTTTCTCTATTGATACTACTAAAACTGCAGACTAAGAAGTCGTATCATAGGGGACCGTAATGCTCAAGGGAGAGAGAGAAACTCCTGACATAGAATCGTGCAAGAAATGAGGAGGGCTAGCATCCTATTTATAGGTAAGTCTGGAGGGGGCACAACACATTTAGTAATTAATTGGAGTGGCCTCCTATTCTTCCACGTCTCCTAATCGTAGTTGGCGTGTGTGGCTCTCTTGCTGCCTCACCGCCTCTATCCTCCATTTTCTCGTTTTCTTTGATAAATCGTAACTTTCAAAAACCAATTATGTTTTCAATGTTCTTTATATCTACAACTTCGTAGTTGCGAGTACTACAACTTCCCTTTCGCTTACTTTCCTAAAATGCAATATATATATATATATATATATATATATATATATATATATATATATATATATATATATATATATATATATACTTATATATATACATATTGCTTTCATTTTATATAAACATATATGATATTTATACAGTGAAATGATCTTCCGAAATTCAAAACTTCGTCATACGAGCTCTATTTTCGAAGTTCTTTATATCCACGGATTCATATTTTCGTCTTATACAACTTTTGCAAAGAAACAATGGCTAAAAGACAATGTATTAACACATTAAATTTCATCAATAAATGTTAATTCAAAATTATATTGTAAGGTGAAAAAGTGGTGTTAAACATTTTAATTCCACATATTAATTCAGCTTAGGAGTCATGGCGTCACTCTTATTCACACCTTGTATTTTATGTAATCTTGGGATTTACTTTCTTATGCTACTCATTTTTCCTTCAACGTGACACTTCTTTAATTATATTGCAATTCATCCTTATCCCTTCACCTTAACTCGTCACAAATAATATAAGACAATCTATCCGTACCACACAAAATTCCAGTCTTGTCGTCGTCACCATAAGTATGCTGCCCTTATTCCTACTGTGTCAAGTTTACTGCATCCATTTATAACATCATACTTTATGACCGCTTCACAGATGTTCCACGATGTGGTTAGGAAAGCGTTTCACGGATGTTCCACGATGTGGTTAGGAAAGCGCACTGCCAACTTATTTACCCAAACACATCGCGTCTCTATAGTCGCCACACCAGATTTTGATTCGCTATAATTATCACTATTTATTAATGTTCAAAATATATTTACAATATTCCTATGTGACATGGGCACTTTCAATTTTAGTCTTCTCCACATTACAAGGAATCCATTACGTATTACAATTTCGACTGCAATGCTCCTAATTTTGTGCACGACAATGCCTACAATGACGTAATTAATAAAATAAATTATATTTTATATTATCCATAAGAACTCACACCACACCATTTTTCGAAACATTCACCACAACACACACTGCTACTCTTTCGTAATGTGCGTCACAACATTATTTATAGGGAATTATATATATATATATATATATATATATATATATATATATATATATATATATATATATATGGGGTTAAGTTCAAATGAAAACACTATTTAATGTGAGAATGTGAGAACACTACTTTATGTTATTATTCTAGTATTCTACTATGAATTTAATATGTATAGTATTGTAGTAATTATAATATGAATATATTCAATTTTATATTGCTATTATACTATATATATATATATATATATATATATATATATATATATATATATGTTCATATATTCGGTGATGAATAATGTTATAAAGTTGTACATAAAAAATTTAAATGTGAATATTAATGTGTAATTGTTGGTATATTTGTTGACGAATAATGTCATATCGTTGTATATACAAAATTCATAGTACAATAGTAACCTATATATATATATATATATATATATATATATATATATATATATATATATATATATGTGTGTGTGTGTGTGTGTGTGTGTGTGTGTGTGTGACAAATCCCTAAATGTCTAGTAGTTGACTAATTTATACATAACAAGTTAAGTAATATAATGTTTTCCACTTGACGTTTTAAGTTTAGAAATCCATTATAAGAACCTTATTCACTTAGACCACCACATTGATACCAACTTGTAACCCCCACATTTTTATACCTGGTACACCCCAAAATATGCTTTTCATTAACAATTTAAAAAAAAAATAATTTAGTGTACATTAGCACTTTGGAATAAAAGGAGTTACCAGTAGGGATTGTACCGGCATCAAGTATAGGATCCGAGCTCGACGTCACAACAACTATCCTGCAAACCAACCATAAATATAGATCGAATGATAAACGACTTAGTGAATAACAACCACAACAACATATAACACTGTAGTCACAAATATATAAAGTATTGGTCATCAATTATATGCAACTAGTAATTTACACGAATTAGTTATGTTCATATGTTCTATTGTGAAATGTCATAAGATATTAGTTATGTATGTAGGTATGTATATATTCACATCACAATACCCGCCAATATAATACTAAATCATTTAAATCATATTATACATATCTCACAAATAGAAGAACACATATATCACAACAACGGATGAAAGAGTAATGTTCCTCACCTTGTTAGTTACTTGGTATACTCGTTCTAAGTATGGCTCCCGACCTATGTTGCCATCTAGCCCGTCACATACCAACAATTATCAATTATCAGGATCCTTAACAACACTATATCATGAATTCCTATAAAATATACTCAGGTCTATACTCAACTCCATATCTCTCCCCCCCCCCCCCCCCCCCCATATCTCAAGTACACTAGTATAACTCTTATCTTATAAGTCTCCGAGAACACCTCAAGAGCCACTTCACCGACCATTTGTGCCAAAATCATTGAGACGACTAAAAAACTAATATTTATAGTACCATTACACTATGATGTGCTGGTAATTTGGCAGCACCGTACCTATGACCTATCTCCGGGAATCACCATGTGTCTTGCCCGTTAACCACATGTCTCGCTCACTCGCTTCACTCCATGTTGTGGTGAGAATGTATCCATGTCGTGGTGACTAACGAGTTGATTGTTTGACTATGAATTTCATTAACTTTCTCGAAATAGAAACATACTTTCATATCAACTTCAATAAACCATAAATTCTTAATACGAACTCCATTTTCAAAAAACTTTATATCCACGGAATATCTTCGCATGAACTATAACTTTTCGTGAATGTATTTTTCTATATACATTTATTTCAACTACTCGTCTCATAGCAATTCAAATCTCTTGAAATAATACATGTTCTGAAAAACAAGTATTACAACTATTAAGCCTTTATGACGTATATACTTCACATTTACTATGTTTGTTTATCTTGTATTCTTATTGTTAGATTTCTGTAAAAATAAGATGTTTTTTCATGAAATTTCGAAATTGTTAATCGGATTTTTTATTTGTACTTAAAATTGGAGTTTTTTTAACTCTGAAATTTGGGTCGGAAATTTCGAATGACAGTCCACAATATTTTTTTGTCAGAAAAAAATGCTTTTTGTCGGGCAGGAATACTAATTCCAGACTTATTATGTTTATTGAAAAAAAAAAATTGATACTATTGTCTTTTAGTTTGCATTGCGTTTTGATTAGTTTAGTTAACCTCCTGTTTTATTATATTACTAGTTTACAACCCGTGGGAACCACAGTCACAAAATTAATTAAAATTTCATTGAAAAATTCAAAATTGTTAATCAATTATTTTAAATAAATTATTAATTAAGAGATGTGTTTATTAGTTATGTAAAATTATATTCGTTGATTTAAATAAATATGTGAAATTAATTTTTAATTTATATCGGATAACTTTTATTTGTGAATTAATGTAAACAATAATATAAAATTTAAAATGGAAAATGGAAAATAAATAGATTAACAAGTAACATTACATTAATTAGGAGGTCTAATAAATTTGAAATTAAGAATTAATTGACTTACAAGTGGCATCATATTAATTAGGATGTCTAATATAGTGACACATGACAAAACAAGTATTCTTTTATTAGTATATGGATTTCAATGATAATATAACAATGATAATTAATGTGGTTAGTAAATTGAAAACAAAGAGAAAAGTGGTTGAAGGTTTTGTCAAACCATAAAGGTTATTAAATGAAATACCATTATTTGTATATAATTTGACACGCAAAACTATTTATTCATTTATATATCAACTACACTATTAAATTAGTGCACACTTGAATCCCTATATATAAACTTCTTATTGTGTCGTCGCTTATTGTAAGGCATCAATATAAAACTAAGGAAAGGATATATGATGATACTTAATCCTTTTGTAGTTATATTTTTTGGGGTTTTGATTTGCACAATTGACATTATTTATGGTAGAAATATTGACAGAGAGGAGACTAGATCCCTTGAACATGTTGAGAGTACTAGTAGGACTGGTTGCTCTACAAGTGACAAGGAATGTGGCGGCGAGCATGAGGATATTACACAAACCACACTCGACGAAAAACATGGAGTAATGTATGGGCAAGGTACCACACAAAGCTACGTTGGTGATGATCACGTTAGAAGCAACAATGACAACAAAAATGTGAACATAAACGTTAATGAAAATGGATATCATATAAAAAATAATGACAGTGGTTTTTGCATCGGTTATTGTAATATGATCATTAACAATACAACCAACATTGACAGCAATAACGGCAGCAACAATGTCATCGGAAGTGGAAGCAACAATGGTAACATTAATGGAAGCAGCAACACAAATGGAACTGATAACATTCCTGGTAGCGGAAACAACGATCCCATCATCGTTTCCATCGGACAAAATAATGGAAATGGTAACGCCAACGTTAACCCAGGATCAGGAGGGAGGACAAACTGGTCACATACTAATCAGAACCTATGATCCTCAACAGAAAATGCAATTTTTAGAATAATATGGCACAAAGTGTTGTTACCCATATATAATCTTCACTAAACATGTAAGGTTTGACCATGTATATGGAAGATGTATGTTTTATACTTCATTTCTAATATATTTGTCAGGAAACCAATAAATGAATAATTTTTCTAACATCACCATTCGTTGTGATATATGTATGTATTTTTTTCATCAAACTCAACTTCTAATCTTTAGATCGTAACTAACAAGCCATAGATCTAATCTTTAGTACACAACAACTTTTGTTTATAAACAACAATTTATTTTTTTGTAGATTTCTATAATACGCTTCGACCACTGTTATAATTAATTATGAGTTATTTATATTCAATTAATTTTTTATGAGTTATTTATATTCAATTAATTTTTCGGATCATGATTTTATGTAACTTAGAGAACATATAATATGTAAAAGTAATAGGCTTGGAGGAGAGTTAATTACGTGGAGATTTTTAGGAGCAGTTTTATTTCTTATAACCTTCCCAAAGACAATTAAACTATTTGATATATAATATTGTAAACTACTGATATATGTTATTTTATTCATATATTCTTTGTGACATTTTGTTACTTTTAGCCATATTTTAGTCTTAAATCAAGGAAAATGATATTTAATACGTTTGAATATTATTTTATAGCTATAAAGACATCATAGGAAGAAAAGAAGATAAATTGTTGCGCTTAATAGCTGGAATCTTTATATTTATTCATAATAAAAAGACTATTTAAACAGCCAAGTGTCCCCGTTTTAAACCACTATTTTACCACATGTCATTCTTCGAGCAGTTTACTCACTATTTTTCCAGCTCATTATCTATTCATCTATTCGACCATCATCTCCTCAACATCAATTCTGCAGTTTACCATTCCGCATTTATTCCCTAAAATCCATTAAATTCAAATTATTAAATAATCCTTTTTCTTATATTGTTTGACTACTAATCTTCTCTTCATTGAATCTCCCTTTGATTTTTGTGTCTCTCAACGTCATCAATATAAGAGTGCGATACAGATGAAGATCAAGAGTTGATCAAGCAACATGTTTTTTGGTGTACATGACGGCGATCGATAATTGTTGAAACTGGTTAGCCATCTCTTTTATGTGTTGGAGCTTCTCATTCTTGCACCCTATATCTTCTTGCTTTTCTCCAAAAACCAAAAAACCCTAGACGCTGGTTTTTGCTTCATTATCTCGCAATTGGTAAGTAGTTTTTGTACCTTTTTGGTTGGTTTCTTGATTCTCGAAGCAGTGCTTGAATGGTTTGAAGAGTTTGCAAGTTGCTCATCGAAAATCTCGAGTATTTTACTTTCATGAAATACATACTTTATATCTCGCTTAATCTAAATTCACACACCCTATTCTTTTTGTGATTTGTATTTTTTTTTTGTATAGAATCTTCATGCACTTAGTTTATGGGTTCGTTGTCAACTCTGTCTCTTTTCCATGGAATTGGAATTTAGGGTTTGCAATATAGCTGATTTTAGTTGGATATGTTGCTTCTCCAGGTCACAAACTTCACCATATATCTATATGTCGCTTTATTATTTTGATTTTTGTGTTGTTTTTATCAATGGTGATGAGATAAACAAACATGGATTAAACACCTGCATCTACTTTCGGTGAGTTTTGGTCTGGTTTGTTATATTACACTTTTTTGGAGATCGTTTCTTGTACTTGGCCATTCAAGTTTGATAGACATCATGTCTTTATTGCGTATCATTCCAGGAAGGCGAAAAAGAATCCTATCGAAGGTTAAGTAAATTTCCATCTTAACTTTCGGTTTTGTACCTGCTCTATTTTAACATTGCTATTCTTATCATAATCTATAGAAATCGTCCATGAGAATACTAGAAGTTAGTTATAACTGATGGGATTCACATGTAATAATGCAGAAAATACCTTAAAACCTTAAGGGTACATGCAACATAATTGAGTCTATGTCATAGCTCTATTGAAGCAACATACTATTGAACAACACAATTCTAAATCTTATTAAAATCAAAATCCACAAGGATAATTTACATACCTCTGATTTGTTATTATAAACAAACCTTTTTATTAATCCAATTGTCTCTTAAACACTAGCATCAATTATGTGCAAGCCTCTAATGGTTCACATCCTCAATGCAAAAACTCTAGAAGATTTATGTCAACGGGAGAGGTATTAAATTTTCGGCTATCATCTCTTACAATGGTTGGCCAAAAATTCCAAGTGTTAGGGTTGTATTTATAGATAATTAGGAAACACCTACAAACCCTAATCTGAACATAAAATAATATTATTTCAAATAAGGTAATTATTTAGTTCCTTGCTTGTCCCTATGCATATTTCTAGAAGACTCCAAGAGGAGACTTAAAACCGTACCATGAAGAAGGGTACTAGAACATGTCCTCTGCTCAACTGTTGAACAATTATAACTATAGTCCTTCAAGTTTTAATTAATTCTAATTAACCAAGAATTAATTTCACATTTATTTTGAATAATTCTAAATTAATTATAACAATTTCTAAATAACATATTATTAATATAATATATTAATAAATCATTTATCTCTAACTAAAATCACTTTAAGCAATTTCTTGGTTACGAAGGAAACCAAAAAATGATTTTACTCTTATTCATCAATATTATACCAATTTTGTTAGGACCATAGACACCTTAATCCAACAGTCTCCCACTTGGATAAGTCACTAACTATAATTTCTTTTAAAACTCCGAATAACCAATAGAGATTATTTTCAAGAGACTACCATACTTTGTTCGTCCTAAGATAAGTAATCATCAATTCCTTCATTCTTCTTGATATCGTATAAACATGAGACATGGATTAGAATAAATATCTTGACAAAGATTGTGTTTCCCGATAATCTCGTTTTGTGATGACATCATAAGACTGCAAATCAATCACATCAATTTAGTCCTCGTTGGGCGCAAAATTATAATGTCAACAATAAAACACTGAAGGGCCCAAGGGTATCACTTTTCCAGTTAAGGCAAAAGTAACAAATAAACTTCAACTATATAATCATACAATTTTACTCATTAGCCATACATGGATATACCCTTTATAGCACCTAGTTCCGAGATGCGTTTGAGCTAACCAATGTATAATAAACTCATGAAATATGACATACATATATCCCTTTTCAGAATAGAAGATATTATCGTCATAGAATTTCTCATGATTAAATCTATGAAGCAAGCTCTAAGTGTGTGTTTAACCCGTACTTAAAATCTCAATTTCTAAGTAATCATGAATTTTACAGGAATCTCAATGCAATGTCCAGTCCCAATGGAAAATTTAAAAACCATTATTGACAGTCTAAACTCATTCCTTATGTCCAAAGTATGACCAATTGTGGTGTTTCGAATATCTTAATACTCAGGAGGTAAAACATCTAAAGAGAAACATTATAATATATTAATTGACAAATAACATCAAACACATTGAATATAAAGAAATCTCTATTTAATTAATCAATATTTAATTACAATTCTAATTACGATATAGTTTCAAAAATGACATCTAAAATCTAATAGCGTTTCTTAGTCCAATGCTCCTAACATGCTCAAAATGATTGACCATGCTCAGACCCTTAGTGAGAGGATCATCATGATTCTCTTTCGATGACACACGATTTAGCACGAGTGCGCCCTATTCAACCTTATGTTTAATATAGTGACTTTCTCCTGACGTGCCTAGATCTACCATGATCTTTATGCTCTTTTGTCAAAGCTACTACACCCTCATTATCGTAGAAAATCTCCATTGGGCCTTTGATTGATGGAAAAACTCCAAGATCCTCAATAAAATTCATTAACCACCTAGCCTCCATTCTTGCTTCGCTTGCTGTGATATACTCATATTTACAAGTAGAGTCGGCCACCATTTGTTTCTTGGAATATTCCAAGTTACCACTCAACCATTTAATAAGAAAACCCACCCAAACTGAGAATAATTATTATATTGGTTTATTTTAATATTGGTGTCACTATATCTAGTCACCTTAAGTTCGTCTTTGCCTTTAAAAACTAAGATCATATCTTTTTTTCGCAAATACTTAAGAATGTTCTTCACTGCTATCCAATAACCTAAACTAGGATTTCCTTGATATTTGCTAATCATGCTTAAAGCACAAGCTACATCAGGTCGAGTACATGTCATAGCGTACATGATCGATCCTATAGTCAAAGCATATGAAATCCGACTCATAATATCTATTTCCTTATCACTATTTGGACATTGACACTTGCTCAACGTAATAATATGATGCATGGTTAAGTCTCCATTCTTGAAATTTTCCATATTGAATCTTTTTAATGTCTTATCCAAGTGTGTACTCTGACTTATGCCTAGTAACCATTCCTGCCTATTCATGTAGATTCTTATATGTAACTTCTCCTTGATCCTTCATAGCGAAACATTTCACATGCCAAGACTTGACTTCTAGTAAGGTTGGAACACTGTTTCCTATTTAGAGTATTTCATAAACATACAAAAGTTGAAAAGTTATAGTGCTCCTACAAGCTTTGACATACATGTAAGGTTCATCTTCATTTCTAGAAAATCCAAACTCTTTGACTTTTTCATTGATGCAAAGATTCTAGCTACGAGATTCTTGTTTCAGTCCATAAATGGACTTTTGAAACTTACACACCTTATTAAGGAATTTTTTATGTACAAAATCCTCTAGTTGAGCCATGTAAACATCCTCGGCCGTTTTCCCATTAAGGAAATCAGTTTTGATATCCATTTGTCTTACTTCATAGTCATCGTGAGCAACTATAGCAAACATTAACCTATTTGACTTAATCTTGGAAAATAATAAAAAAATCCCATAATATTCAATCCCTTGGTTTTAAGTAAAGCCTTTTGCTACCAACCTAGCTTTGTAAGCCTATATGTTACCATCCATGTCAGTCTTCTTCTTGAAGTGAAACATCCCAAAAATACGGTCCAA